TTTCGCTTTCTGAGTCAAAACTACTCGAATTTCCTCACTCACGTTACGACTGAATCGACTTTTCAATTCTCTATCCAACGATGCCAAAACGAATTATTTGGCTCGAATGGTTCTTGAGAAACTTCGAAAAAAGCAGCATCATGTTCAAGTGGATTTCGCAACTCTGAGCGTTCTTGCTGCCATTTTTCCTCCGAGAAATAAGCAAAAACGGGACGGAAAACATGAAGTTTTGCAATAATCTTGCGCCACCCTTGCACAAAACGACGATCATTTTTCAAATTTCATAGATTACAGAAGACTGTAATTTTTCTACATAACCCCTCCCCCCCCCGACTTTAAAGCTTGATCCGCCCCTGAAGTTTCTCCTGTCCTACATATGGCGCCGTTGCCAGCTTGGGCGTTTGTTCCCAGAGAGGCGTTTTTGTTCAATCGGATTTCATTGTTTCGGGTCGTAACTACTAAGTTGTCAGATTTTAACCATTTGTTGGAATAAATAATCTGGGCGCGGTTTGAACTTATGCGGAAACACCCAGTTTGAGAACATAAAAAAAGCAAATTTGGCACTGCGAATGGCTGCAAATAATTTGGCTGCGACGTTCCAGCTGCCAACGACCTGTGGAACTCCCTGCTGGAGCCCTACGGCCAGAAAACGACCAACGGCGGGCCGGAATTCGCCCGCTTCCTGTGCCCATCGGCCGAGCGCCCCTACCTGTTCACCCGGAGAAACGCAAACCGCTAATAAACGACTGTTTTCCCCCGAATTTTTGGTAGTTTCACTCGCCCTGTACGCGCAGCTGAGAAAGACAAAGTTCAACCTCAAGTACCCACTTGATAGCGACTGCTATCGACTTGTCATAATTCGGCTGGCAATCTTAACAAGCCCACAATCAATCGCAGTGAGTGGCACAGAGCAGCTCGTCGAAATGAGTGCGCTACCTGCTGATGAGTGAGTAGCAACAGCCCTAAAAAACATCCACACGATCGGGCGGTTCTTTGCAGGTTCAACCGGGGATTCATTGAAGAATCGGCGCGCTTCATCCGAAGCCGGGTGCCCGTTGCCCCAAAGCTGCTCATCATCTGCGGCTCCGGACTAGGTAAGAACCCGCCCCCTGCCAGGGGCCGACACTGACTTTTCTCATGTGGAAAAGGGGGGCTGGCCGACACGCTCGAAAAACCCGTCACACTCAGCTACGACGAGATCCCCAATTTCCCCCAAAGCACCGTGCCAGGGCATGCCGGGGAGCTGATCTTCGGCACCCTCGCCAACGTGCCAGTGGCGTGCATGAAGGGCCGCTTTCACTACTACGAAGGTACTGCCTGCTGCAGGCCCCCAACTAGCCCATCCCCTTCTTCAACTGGTCACCCCCGCAGGTTATTCGCTGCAAAAAGTGACCACCCCCATCCGCATCATGCAGCTGCTGGGGATTAAGGGGCTGATCGTCACCAACGCGGCCGGCAGCGTCAACAAAGCCTACCAAGTGGGCGACATCATGCTGATCAAGGATCATCTGAACTTCTTCGCGTTTGGTGGGCGGCATCCGTTGCGCGGGCCGAATGATCCCCAATTCGGCGCCCGATTCTTCCCAATGAATCGCGCCTACGATCGGGCGCTGCTCCAAGTGGGGAAAAGGGCGGCGGCGGAAGTGGGCCTGGCCAATCACTGCCACGAGGGCGTCTATGGAATATATTCGGGGCCCAACTATGAAACAGTGGCGGAAATCAAGTACCTCCAACTAGTGGGCGTCGATGCGATAGGTAAAGTTCCATAAAACCCGCCCAACTGTCCTAAACACAACCGTTTTCTTTTGGAGGAATGTCGACCGTGCCGGAAGTTTTGGTGGCCAAACACTGCGGTCTGCGGGTTTTCGGGTTCAGTTTCATCACGAATAAGTGCGTCGACTCCTACGAGGAGGCGGAGGAACCAAACCACGCCCACATTCTGGATGTGGTGCAAGCCAAAGCGGAAAAACTCAAAAACCTGGTTATCAAGTTTGTGGAACACACAAGCGCCCAGTGGCTGTAAAAGCAGAAAAACTGCCTCGTGTTGTTGAAAAAATATATACCTACTGCTATTTAATTATTTTACATAATATAATTTTCAAGGCAATTCGATCAGGCGCGACGGCTATCGGCAACGCTGTTAAGGCGCGATTGCTTTTGACGTTGAGCGTCAAAAAATCAACAATTCCGAAACTTTTCCGCCCATTTTTCGGCCACGACACCACCAAGAGTCAACAATTGAAGCCTCCCAACATTCCCCTTCTTACCCATGTAAAGATCCAAAGCAAATCGGCAGGAAATTACGAAAAACACCCGCAACTCCCACTCAGCTTTTTCAGCTAATTTGAGCAATGCTTACCGGTTGCTATCCATGTGCTGAACCGCCCACATCTCCAGTCCAGTTTAAAAAACAGTTGGCCGATAATTTGCACAAAAAAACACATTTGAAACGCTCATTGTTTGACAACAAACGCGACTGGGTTCTGAGCGCGCGCAACTGGCGCCACCTGTTGCCCAACAGGGCTTTTAAGAATCAGGGTCGGTTTACATCGGCATCTTTGCACCCACTAGTAGGGGCGTGGCCAAATTTGATTTAATATTAAGAGGCCCACAATGGGGCTTAAAAAGCCATTCTGTGGCTCTAGTTGATCTTGAGAAACTTCGAAAAAAGCAGCGTCATGTTCAAGTGGATTTTCCAACTCGAAAAAAACCACGCAAATCTAAAACTTCCTGAATTCAAGCATTTTTTGAGAAAACTGCCAACAATTCCCCAGCCATGGTTCACTTTCGAAAAAAAGGCCATTTAGTTCTGTCTAGAATGATGTACAAATGAGCGTTCTTGCTCATTTTGCCTCCGAGATCTGATCAAAAATGGGACGGAAAACATGAAATTTTGGCATAATCTTGAACCAACGATGCCAAAACGAATTCTGTGGCTCAAATGGTTCTTGAGAAACTTCGAAAAAAGCAGCGTCCTGTTCAAGTGGATTTCGCAACTCAAAAAAAAACCGCGCAAATCTAAAACTTCTTCAATTCAAGCATTTTTTGAGAAAACTGCCAACATTTCCTTATCGATGGTCAACTTTCTAAAAAGGCCATTTATATCTATCTAGAATGATGTACAAATGAGCGTTCTTGCTCATTTTGCCTCCGAGATATGAGCAAAAATGGGACGGAAAACATGGAATTTTGGCATAATCTTG